TCCAGCCCGTTTGGCTCAGTTGTTGAGCGTCAACCCATGCATCAAGAGGTCGCCGGTTCAATTCCCGGTCAGGACACATGCCCGGGTTGTGGGCCGGATCCCTAGTGGGAAGCATGCAAGAGGGCCCAATCGATGTTCTCTCTCATTGATGATTCTATCTCTCTCTCCCTCTCTCCTCCTCTATCTCTAAAATCAATAAAAGAAAAAGAAAAAAAAAAAAGAGTCCCTCCAGATCCCAAGGAGACAATCTCTGATCCTCAAGCGTCTGGATTGAGAAACAGAAAAAAAACAAGATTTTGTTTCTGTGCAAGCGTGTAGTTGCAGGTTCTTGAGGAGCTAACAGCCTTCTCAGAGATCCCAGTTTGATTTAGACCAACTTTGCCTTTTGTGAGGCTTGAGGCCAGCTAAGCACTGCTGCTGAGACCTCCCCCACCCCTTCCAGCCAGATCATAGACTTCAAGCCATCTCCTTGGTGTCTGTTTCTGCGTGTCTCTGGTTGTCGGTTGTGCATCTTGGTGTGTGTATGTGTCCATATGTCTGTCTGCTTGTGCATACATATATTTGCCCATAAGACTAGGAGAGGTTATTGGCCAGGAGAGGCAGTCATGAAGCTGGGGTTCAAGTCAGCTGTACAGAGCTAGTAACTCGCCCACTCTACTTCTTTTCTGGTTCATGGATTATTCATATAAACACCCTCCCCCCCACCATGTCTCTCCTCTTTGGGCCTTTGTACATGTTCTTACTTCTTAGTAAAATTCCCTTTGTTCCTTCACTCCTGGAAGATGCTCCTGTTCATTTTCCATTAAGGTTGAGAGGCCCAGAAACCCTCAATATGGGGAGGACCTTCCTATCTACTGCCCCCCACCCTTGTTTCTCTCATCAGGCACTTTAGATTATAATTGCCACCTCGATAATTGTGTGGTCCCAAACTATAAGCTTGGGATAAAAAGTAGTCTGACCTGAATTTTGTTCTCTGCACAGAAGGGGCCAGACATAGTAGATGCTTAGTGAATACATGAAGGATGATGGAGCTTAATGAGAAAGAAGCAGAAAGGGAAGAAGTGCAGGATGAAGCATCCTAAGAAGGAGGGAGACTAATTGGCTTACAGTAAAAAAGATAGGGCAGTGGGGGAAGAGAATGGGGAGGAAGGGGTTGTGGGGAGAGAAAGAGGGAGCATATACCTAGAGGAAACCAGGCTTCATTCTGGAGTCTCTGCAGCTCCTCCTCTTTAAATTTTAAGGCAACTGCCACCTGGTGCCAGCTACCTTCCCCCTCAGCCTTCAAGCACTCAGCTACCTTCTCATGAAACTCGTCACTGAGGGTCACCAGTACCTCCTGGACCTGAAGTGTGCTAGTAAAAATGGAGCAGTCTGGACACAGCCCTTCCCCATTTTACTTTTTATTTTTTGGTATGAGACCCTAGTGGGAACCAAACCAGGACTCTCTGGTCTGCAGGCCAACACTCCAACCGCTGAGCCAAACTGGCCAAAGCACGCTGCCCCATTTTCAATGATTTCTTTCCAAGTTGCATGGATGTCATCACTGTGTCTTGGTTGGGATTGGGACTGGGGCAGAGATGCCTCTTTCACAGCTCCCTGCACACACAGAACCCTCTGTCCTGAGCACTTCCACTCCTCAGCATCCTGACATGAGCCAGGCAGCTAAGGTTATCTCATGTCCTCCCAGCCTGACCCTGAGCCAGCAGGAGGGGCTCAGCCATGTGCAGGGGACACAGGGCTTGTTGAAGCTGAAAAATTTCTCACATGCTCCCATAAAAAGCCAGACTGTGACAAGCAGGTGTATTAATACCTGGGGAAGGGGGACTGGCTTTGGCAATGTGATTCAGGGTTTGGACAGAGGCTGGCCCACCTCATGCCCACAATGCCATCTTACCCAGTGTGAAAGCAGGACACCCAACCCAGCCTAGCTTGGACATTTTGAGGGGCAGGCCCGAGCAGCCACTTAGCAGGCCTCCTGACTAGGGGCCACCTCCAGCACTGCTAGCAGCACCTACTTCGTTTTTTCAAAATTAATTAATTAGTTAGTTTATTTGGTTAATCCTCACCTGAGGATATTTTCCCCTTGATTTTTAGACAGAGTGGAAGGGAGAGAGAGAGAAACATTGATATGATAAAGATACATTGAATGGTTGCCTCCCATATGACAGGAGCTGGGGATCAAACCTGCAATCCAGGTATGTGCCCTTGATGGGGAATTAAACCCGAGGCCTTTTGGTCCTTGGCTCTAACTGCTGAGCCAGACTGGCCAGGGCAGCACGTATTTCTTTCTCAGAAGGCTGGTGTGCACTGCCTCTAGGGCCTGCACGTGGCCTTCCAACACCATTTGCTCTTCTTGCAGCTGCTCCAAACAGTTCCCTGGTTGCTGGTGGTCCTGGCCCAGCTCTTCAGAGTCTTGCTCACCTGTGAAGACCCCCACTCCACTCCATGGTTCCCCTCCACCAGGTCTATGGGGCTCACCTCCTGGGATCTTTCTGTTCAGGCTATCCCCCAGGCCTTTACTCATGTAGTCTCCTTCTCCCAGAGTCTCTGATCTCCTCATCCTCCTGGACTCAGTCCTCCCAGGAAGCCTTCTCTGACTACCTCAGCACACAAAGACGTCTCCAAAATCCGCGCTTTAAGTCTGGACGGAATGATTTAAGGTTGGACAGCAACTGGCTTCACACCACTAGAGGGCGCTGTTTTCAATGGACTACAATGTGAATGGAACTCGCTGGAGCTGTGCGGAGGCCCTGTTCCAATCTTTCTCTCCTGGTCATTCCCTTTTTTTTTTTTTTTTTTTTGATATTTTGTTCAGATAGAGTGGGAGAGCGAGAGCGAGAGCGAGCGAGCGAGCGAGAGAGAGAAACATTGACGTGAAAGGGACACATCGAGTGGCCGCCACCCTCACGATCCAACCAGGGCCAGGGACAAACTGCAACCGAGGTACGCACCCTTAGTGGGAACCGAACCCAGGTCTCTGTGGACCGCAGGCCGACGCTCTAACCGCTGAGCCAAACCGGCCAGGGCTGGTCATTCTCTTTACCATGGTGTCCCTTAGGGACCCTCACCCAACTCAGAATCCCTCAAGGGCAGGGCCCAGGCTCCCCTGCTTCTCTGCCCCCGCATAGATGGGCATAGGCTGGCTCAGTTGGTGCCCTTGGTTTTCTGTGGGGCTGACCCTGATAGCTGCTTGAAGCACCTGGGTGAGCATCAGCAGCACTCCTCCAGTTTATGTCCTTCAGCTGCCCCCATGAAGACTCCCCATCCCCATCTCAGCTCTGCTCCTGGTTCTGCAGGCCTGGCACCAGTGCCTCCTGCAGGTACACTCAGGATCCTGAGATCTCTTCCCAGCCTTTCTTGTGGGTGTCAGTTCTTTTAGGAATGAAGACCAAAAGAACGAAGCTGTAGTGGCAGAGTTTCAGTCATAACAGCAGGTAGACCACAGATTTTGGCGAGGGAGCTCAGAGATGGCTCCTATTGTACTTAAGAAAAAGAGAGCTGCTTTGTTGCTGGGAGGCAAGGACTCCTGAATTCTCTATGGTGGGAGGGCTGGCAGGAAGACTTACTTACCCCTTAAAACCTAGCATCCAGGTCAGGGCTGGGGACAGGAGCCTCTCTGAGAGTCTCCGCTCCAGCTACCGACCAGGCCCTGGCTTCCAGGAGCCACGGAAACCGTGACAACACTAAGTGGTGGGAGGAGGGGGACACCACAGAGTCCTCCCACATCGTCTGAGTGGTTGAAATGATGAAACTCGGGTGGCGTGGACGAGATCGCAGGCCAAACGTTGGATCCAGGCAAGAATAGCAACTCAATCTCCAGCCTGAGGCCATGCTAAGGGGGTGGAATCTAGGGGAGGGGACACCCTGGCTCAGTCGTCCACTGCGCATCGTAAAAGCTAAGTTTTTACTTAGCTTCGGCTGTTTACTTCGGGTGGAAATAGTGGAGCTAACCAAGAGTTGGGTATCCCCTCAAGCCGCGCCGTCGGACCCCAGTTTAAGGGGCAGCTAGAGACTTAGGACTCCAGGAACCTCCGTAACTCGGGAGGGGAAGGCTCCTCCCGAACCGCGCCTGCGAGGGATGCGGAAACGCTCCGCGTCGGGGGCGTGCCCTGCCCTCACTAGGGAGGGGGCGTGGCATGGGAAGGGCCACAGAAACTCAGGCTGCCCACAGGGAGCGGCACCGGGGGGGAGGGGCGGGGCCTAGAGGGATGCCCTGTCCCTCCTGCTCCCGCCCAGATGTGGGTTGGAGGCAATTAGAGGACCCTCCACTTAGCTGGACCACGCCTGCGGGAGCCCCGGGCGTGCAAGCACACAAACCGCGAGGTCTCCCAGAGGGCCGGACCTCGGGTTTTCTATTTTGGGAAATGGGACCTTGTTATCCTGCCCCGACCCAGCGCGGACAGTGGGTGGGAGGGGGTTTTGTTGATCCAGGGGGCGTCGAATGACTCCGAGGAGAAATAGCCAGTGAGGCCAAACCCGGCAGGGCGCGGAATCTATGAACTGAGGAGCAAGGCTGTACGCTGGCTGCGGTGCTCAAGGAAAAGAAGAGCCTCCTTCCCCAGCGGCCCCGCCCCCAGGGCTCCTGGGCATCTCCCCGTAAACCGCTCGGCGTGCCCACGGGCACCGAGCGTGCTGCTAATGCCCCCACCCTAAAGAGAATGTGGTCTCTTTTGCTTCCTTCATGTAAGTGAGGGTCACGACCGCCTTCCCGAGCATCGGGGCTCGCCAGGTCTCTGCTGAGGCGACGGCGCAACAATGCCCTCCTTCCCGCGTGCAGGAAAGGGTTGGCGGGCGCTCCTGGGGTCGGGTTAGCGGAGCAGGCTGGGCCCTCCGGACAGGTCGTGGCTCCACCTTTCGGTTCCCAGTGCCTGCCGGCCAGGGATGGCTACCTTATCGCTTCTTGGGGGGCTACGTGCGTCACGACACACGTAGGGCCGGCGACGTCCCTTAGGCTCTGACGGAACCAGTCTCTACAGAGGCCCCACTGACCTGGGCGGAGAAGGCAGGTCCTCCAGGGCCTTCGAGTTGAAAGCTAGAGCGACTAGGTCCCACAGAGCTGGGGCTGGCGACAGCTGCGTCATGCGAGGGGAGGGGCCGCCGCGGGTGGAGGCTGGAGCCGGAAGCGGAAGAAGCGCTCGGAGCGGGAAGTGGGGCCTAGTCGCAGCTGGAGCCTGGGAGACGGTGAGTGAGGTCCCAGGGCCGCAGCGGCAGGGTGGGCGCGCCAGGTGCGAGTCCCTGGGTTCCTGGGCTGGTGTCGGTCTCTCCCTCTTTTTTCCTCGGCCCACCTCAGACTGCGTCCCCGACCTTTCACCCCTGACCCCCCCGAGGGGCGGTCACCGTAGGACCCCTACCTCTCCATCCCACGGTGTCGGAATCCCAGCCCCAGCGGCCTCAGACCCCTGAAGGGATTCGGTTTCGGCTCTGCAACTGTCCGCGGAATGGGGCCGGGTGCTACCTGGGCTAGTCTGGAGAGGCCTTCAGATCGCTCCCGTACCCCCGGCTCGAGGCTTGGTCCGCAGTCTCCTTCTCCCCTCGCCGCCATTGGCGGCGGTTAAAAGGGCCAGAGCTTTAAGATCTCTGGGACCCAGGGCATCAGGAAGGGCCGCGAGCGAGGGCCACAGGCTCTGGCATGTTTTGTGTTGATGGATCCTCTCCAGCCCAGGGGAGGGGCTAGGCCAAGCTGACAGTACAAGTGCCTGGGCTACTCCCGGTCGGGAGTCTCTGAGCTCTAGTTCCGGGTGCGGGGACTCTGGGGTGGTGCTGGGGTGGGAATTGCCTGAGCCAGGCCCTGGTCGAGGTGGAGTTGGTGGCCTTCCAGCTTCCCTCCTCCATGCCCTTGAAAAGGAGGAGCATTTCACCCGATGGTGACGGCTTGCAAGGTGGCAGGTTTGAAATTGCAGTGGTGGAGCGGCGTCAGCCAAAAATAACCATGGGGCGCTGGGGCGGCTGGGATCCGGAGGGCAGCCGCTGACCTGGCTGGCTGCTCCTTGTCAGCCCAGTTCATTGGCCTGGAAAAGCAGATGAGAAGGCTTCTAGGTCTGTGCTCAGAAAAGCTGGCATCCTCTGCCTGGTTTCCTTCGTGTTACCTTTTTCTTCATTGTGTACAGCAGAGCCTTCTGGAGTATAATTGTGGCCCTTAGCTTCTTTCAACAACACGTTTGTTGGGGTCTCAGAGATTGATAATTGAAGAGAAATGGACCCTAGAGGCTTGGCTGGGTATATAATGGGGGGAGGGTAGATGTGGTGAAAGAGAAGTTATTTCCTTTGTGATTGCCTTATGTGTGGTATGTTGCAGCTTGTCATCTCCTTTGCCAAGTTGGTTGGGAGGTGTTATCTCCATTTCCCAGGTATAGGCGATGGTAACCAAGGCCTAGCTAGAGTGGCTTGGTCATGAGGACAATACTGGGATTTAGTTTAGGGTTTTCTACCTAGAGCTCTCTCTCCCCCATGATCCCTTGGAAGAGACATAAAATGCCCTTAAGGCATTTAACACAGATGCAGAGGTGTTACCTGGAACCTTTTAAATGTTGATGAAGAGCTGCCTTTACTACATCTTGTGGGCATAGACTTGGATTAGGCATGTGCTAGGCATGTTAGTAAAGGAATGACATAATGTAATCCTCACAGAACCCTGTAAGAGATTAATATTCTTGTTGCAAGAGGAAGCTGAAGAGGTCATAGTTTAATAACTTGCTTTAAAGGTACACAGCTAGCAGTGGCAGTGCCAGGATTCAGACTGACATCTCTCTGACTCTGAAGCTGTGTTCTTGCCTCTGTCTAACATGAACAAGTGTTGACTTAAGAGTCTTTTAAGTTCTAGGAGGGAGTCTTTGGCCTGGTGTGGATTATGAGCCATGTTCTCCAGCTCTGGTGCTCTGCCCAGTGAGGTTGGACAGGGCTTCTATCTTGGCCACTGGAGCTTCTTCTGTCACTTGGGGAGATGTGAGTGAGATACATACAGCCTTCATTTCATAGCTTGGGCACCTGACCCAGGGTAATTGCAGGAAAACAGTGAAACATTAGTCAGCTGATCGTCAAAACAGAACAACAGCTTGGCCAGTGTGGCTCAGTGGATTGAGCATCATCCCATGGATTGAGAGGTTCTGATTTGACTCCCCACCCAGGTTGCAGGCTCAATCCCCAGTAGAGGGTGTGCAGGAGGTAGCCAATCGATGTTTCTCTCTTACATTGATGTTTCTTTTTTTTTGGTATGATCCCCTAGTGGGAACTGAACCTGGGACTCTCCGGTCCACAGGCCGACGCACCAACTGCTGAGCCAAACCTGCCAGGGCATGTTGATGTTTCTATCTCTCTCTCCCTTCCTCTCTCTCTAAAAAAAAATCAATAAAACATATTTAAATCCAGTCAGTGTGGCTCAGTGGTTGGACATCGACCCATTCACCAAAAGGTCATCAATACAATTCCCAGTCATGGCACATGCCCTGGTTGTGGGTCAAATCCCCAGTAGGGGACATGCAGGAGGCGGCCAATTGATGTTGTCATTGATGTTTCTCTCTCTCCCTCTCCCTTCCTCTCTCTCTAAAATCAATAAAGAAAATTAAAAAAAAAAACATTTAAAACAGAACAACAGTCTAAGTACTTGAGGAGCTGTGGGTGACTTTACATAGTATTTATCTCCAAGGACTGCCAGGTAGACAGGGGAAACCACCCACTCATGGGGTGATTGAGAGCAGAGACTTTCTTAGGATCACAGAGAAGCCCCCAAGGATTTTGTCAGATATGCCTCACTGCCATGCTCATTCCATTTTGCTCTACTCCTGACAGACTTGTCTCATGAGATGGGGCAGCCTCATTGGGTTTGTCCAAAATGTGCTTGGTCATGCAAACCCAAGACTGATCACCACTGGAGGTTGGCTATGGCCAAGTGAAGGTTTGGGAGTAAGGGTGGCCACAGTCTCTGGCCCAGCCTTCCCATGGAGCAAGCAATGTCAGGGTTTTGGGTATGGGTGGAACAGTGAGCTGGCCTCATATAGCCATTTTTCTCAGCTGGTGGCTGATCCAGCCTGGCAATTTCCTATAGCGGATATAAGTCCTCGCTGAACAAGGGTAGTAAAGTGGGCCCTTTTGGCATGCTTTCCTGAGCACATCAGTCTGAAATGGGCACAGGAGAAAGGTTCTGGAGCAGAGGATCTAGAAGAGGGTACTGTTCTATTGGATATAGGTGAGGCACTGCCCAGCACCAAAGGTGGTCTGAGGGTGCTAAGTCTGTGTTGGGAAACATACTTGGATGTTCTGACCCTAGTAACTTTACTGGTGCTGACCCCGAGTGTGGACCGGCAAGGGCTAGCCAGAACTCTGTGTCTGCTGGGCCAACCCTCAGGTGGACTAGTGAATGTTTGTGAGACCCTGTGCACCTTTTTCTCCAAGAGCTGGTGTTCTTGTTTTTGTCTGTAGCTCCTCATACAACTTGTGGTCCTTGCTTCGAGTGGGGTCCATTTTAGGGCTCCCACAGACAACTGGGCTTTTTCAACTTGAGTGTTTTCACCCTTGGCTCCTAGGTGTTGGCACCTTGACAACAGCCATCTGCTTCTGGCCTCTGGCCTGACAGAGCAGGCGCTTCATAGGACCCCACGGACAGGCAGGAGGGAATTGAGCACAGAAGGCTCCCCCTTCTCCTGGTCTGTGATGGTGCTCACCAGCATTTTGTCTTGGCACCTGTTCTGGCTTGCCCTGTTTCCCAAGTGCTCAGGCCACCAGCCCAATGATGCTGTGCTGGGGGGGGGGGCAGCATTTTGTTTGTTCATTGGCAGAGAAGGATGTTATCTATTGTCTGCTCTTTGACCACTGTGACCTCAGAGTTCTTCTTCACTTCATAAATTCCTGGGAGGGGCTGCCCCAGACAGAACAATGGGCCTCTTCTTCAGGAGTGCCTAGGCTGCTTAGGCAACTGGTGGCCGGAGATGGCTGGCTGCATGTTTAGCAGGGCTGTCCATTTCTTGTGGCCTAGATGCATCACTGTAAGCGATACCGCTCCCCTGAGCCAGACCCATACCTGAGCTACCGATGGAAGAGAAGGAGGTCTTACAGTCGCGAGCAGGAAGGGAGACTGCGATACCCATCTCGAAGGGAGCCTCCGCCCCGGAGATCTCGGTCCAGAAGGTGAGAGGGAACTGGGTCAAAAGGAAGGGCTCTTTTCCTCAGCGGGGCTAAGGAGACAGTCTGGAGGCTTGTGGCAGCCCTGGGCTCCAAGTGACCACTGCCTCTGCTTGGCTGTATATGTCCTCTTTGGGTTCCTCCCCTGATCTCACCTGCATTCCTTGGCCTCAGTGTTTGCTTCCATCCTGGCCGCCCCTTCTTCCTCTGTCCTTGAATCTTCTTTTTTCTGGCACAATCTCTATTTTCTAGGCCAGCATCTCCCCTGCTAACCTCTGAGCCTTCCTCCGTGGGAATTAGAAACAACCTTAGTCTCCCCTAGTCCTATTTCAACCCCAGACCAAAATTACAGCCTCAGCAGGCCACAGGAAGCTCTGAGGCATCGGAACCCTTGGAGGCCCTCCACCATGATCACTCCCCAGGGCTCTGCCTCCTGTGGTATTGGGGGATACTGTTAGTAGCTGAGATTCTAGAGGTTGGATTTCATACACACACATGCCCCGTCCCCTCCTCCCCCAGTCTGGATGCCTTTGTTCAGACAGGCTACCCTTGTGAATCCTTTGCAGGGGCCTCACCACATGCCTCTTGCCTTGTAGCAGGAACCTGGTTGATGGGAGGAAGAGCCTTGTCTGACTAGTGTCCCCATCCCACTCTTGGCAGCCATGACCGCCTGCCCTATCAGAGGCGATACCGGGAGCGCCGTGACAGCGACACATACCGGTGTGAAGAGCGGAGCCCATCTTTTGGAGAGGACTGCTATGGAGCTTCACGTTCCCATCATCGTCGGCGGTCACGGGACAGGGAGCCCTACCGGACCCGCAAACACGCCCACCATTGCCACAAACGCCGCACCAGGTCTTGTAGCAGTGCCTCTTCGGTGAGTGGTGGCCAGAGTGTGCTGGCTGGGGCTTCAAGGCCTCATCTGTTTGTAGCCTTTTCTCAGGTTGGCTGATCTGGGTGAGTACTGCTAGCCCTGTGCATGTGCATTTGATATGTGTGTGTGTGTGTGTGTGTGTGTGTGCGCGCGTGTGTGCTCGCGCGCACACACATGTATATGTGTGTGTGGTCTGGTTTAGGTACAGGACTGAGCAAAGGGCCTGGCTTCTCTATCTTCTGGCCCACTGGCAGTGTCAGTTGTAGGAGCTCTGGTTCTGGCACTGGCTGGCCCCCTGCCTGTCTGTGTCTACACACTGCCCTAGGCACAGGATGCATGGGACACGTCTTAGGGATCCTAACAGGGTTGCTGGTGTGTGGTCTGGAGCTGTATGGCCTGGCCCTTCCCACCCATATGTGTGGCCTCCACACACAGCTGAGTGCCCTGACTGGTGTGGATTGTACCCACTTCTGCAGTGTCGTTTCCATGTCCCTCCCCAAAGGCCCGGAGGCTGGAGTGCCCACGGGTAGGGGAGGGTCTTCCTATCAGTCAACTCAGACTGGGAGCATTCCTTCTGACTTCCAGTCAAGACAAGGGATGAGCTGCTTATGTGATGGGACGTGTAAAGGAATGACAGAAAGGTCTAGGCCTTGTTCAGTTGCAGGCCACATGCCAAGAACAGGGCCTGGCACTGTTTCTAGTGTGCAGGGTTGTATAGATCTCTGCTGTAACCAGGAGCCCACACTGCACTCACACTTCTAAAAGCCTGTTGTGCGTCTCTGAGGTTATGCGCTGTCTTCTCCTCCCCACCCCTCTTCCCTCTCTCTCTCCCTCTCGCCAGCCATGAGGCCTCTGAGGAATAGTGGCGGAAGCAATGGAGGGGCCAGGCATCTTCTCTGCTAAGCTCTCCGGTGACCTCTTTGAGTGGCCATGGGTTGCAGGTTGACTGTGGGTGCCCATCATGGCCTGGTGGCCTCTCTGCACACTGCCACAGGAGGGCAGTGCAGGTCTGTGGCTCTGCTTCTCTTTTGGTGCCCTCTATTGTCATGAGGCTCAGGATGCACCTGGCCTGTGAGTAGCATGGGTGTGTCAGGGTCAGGGCAGGAGCTGGCTTGGGGCCTGTGTGGGCCATTGTGGTAGGAGGCCTGGAGATTGACCAGCTCAGAGAATCCCTGGCTCCTTCCCTGCTTGAGGTTGGTGGCAAAAAGGCTGCTGATGGAAGGCCATTTCTGGTGGTGATGTTAAGTCTGGCCATGGATGCTGTCTGGGGGCTTGTAGCAGTTTGCCTCTGAGTGGCAGCTGTCAAGTATGTGCAGGGCTGCCTGGGCAAGACAGAGGCAGGCAAAGACAGGCTGGGCATTCTGCAGCTGAAGACAGAATGGCCTCTGACCATTCTGGATGATTGGACCCACGTTGGGACAGCCACATTCTTGCACCGTTTTCACTGCGTCTTCACCCAGGCCGAAGTATAATGGGAGGGCCCGGGAGGGGAACACTCAGTGGAGAAGGGTGTCAGGGCTGTGGCTCTCCGCATGGCCAGGCCTCTCAGCAGCAGAGGCTGGTTGTCTTTCTGAGCGTCCAAGTTTCTTTACATACCTGTAGCTGTTTTTACTTTTCTGTTTTTGAAGTCAGTTTGTGTCTTGACGTGTCCCTTGCAATATCCCTATCGTTATATATGCTGTGTGCCTTATGAAATGCTGGGATCTGGAAAATCCAACCAACCAACCCACCGGCTCCTCACCGTCTCCACCTCTGCCTTTGACTGACACCTCAATCTGTCAATCGGAACCGCCTACCATGCGATTGGTCGGATGGCGTTTCGGGGGGCGGTGCATGCAGAGAAGCCAACAGAGCAGTAAGCGCAGCAGCCGGAGTGTGGAAGATGACAAGGAGGGCCACCTGGTGTGCCGGATCGGCGATTGGCTCCAAGAGCGATGTACAGCCAACTTTCGTAAAACTTTACCTCTCTACTTTCTACCCCCTTGTTAGACCAGACCTCTCCTGCCCGGAGGGGCCTCTAGTGCGCGTGGTGCCTTAGTGGGGCCACCAGTAATTGCCTGAATGACACAAACGCTAGCAACTTCTGTTTTTAAGAGTGTAGCAGTGAGAGAGAAACCTCTTTTGTTTTTGAGAACTTGAATGCTGTGAACTTACAGGAGCTGCCAAACATCTGTCCTCCAGACCCTCATGCCCCACTTCTTTTCTCTCCTAGATGAGATTGTGGGGAACCTGGGCGAAGGCACCTTTGGCAAGGTGGTGGAGTGCTTGGACCATGCCAGGTAAACTTTAGCTACTAGCTGTCTCAGTTGAGTCACATGCTGCCCATATATGACTCTTCCACTGTTTTAGAAATGAAGAAACATGCTCAGGGTTTGCAGATATCCCCTAGGTGTTGTGGTGGGGCAGGGCACCATTGAACTGCAGTGCTCCCACATTCATAAGGATGCTTGGAGAGGACAGTTAGACCCAGAAGTCCAGCTGGCCATGGATCCCAAAGATAAAGTAGTGACGATGACTGAGAGGAAGCCTCCTTGGGCTCCAGTTCCCATTTAAACACCCCTTGAACCCAAGAGGTCTGGGTTGGGACCAGTGAGCATAGGAACATTTAGACTATACTGTGACCAGAGGGAGAATGGGCAGATCTGAGAGCTGTGACACATGGGGGCAGCTAAGCTCTCTGGGCTGTGCCAGTCTGAGTAGTCAGAGGTAAAGTTAGTCTCTGGTGTTACTAAGGGACAGGCACAGGGCCTAGGGGGCCTTCAGGGGATCCAAAGGGAGTCAGCCAGTGGGATTGTTGTGAAGAGGCAGAATTCACCTCAGCACAAGGGCCTTATCCTCAGAGCCTTCAAACCTGATGGCTGTTTGTGGAAGTGATGAGCTCCCTGTGTTGAGGGTTGGAATGCCATATGAGAGATCCTATTCTAGGAGGAGGCAGGTGGCCATTCCTATTAGGTCATTTCCTGTCCTGAAAATCTGAGAAAATGGGATAGGGAGAGAAAAGCAGGATGTTCTCTAGAAGATACTTCTGCCTTGGTGCCTGTGAGCCTTTCCTTAGGCAACAAGGCCAGCTTCCCAGAAGCCTCAGAGGCTGTAGGACAGAAGCCTCAGGACAGAGCTGCTCGCTCATTCCCCACCCAGCATGTGAACTCTGGCTGTTCCTTCCAGCCTCAGTGGGTCATCCTATGAGTGACCTATGGGGGTAGGGGTGTGTGTGTGTGTGTGTGTGTGTGTGTGTGTGTGTATGTGTGCAAAACAGGAATCGTTAAAATCCTTATTGGACACTGAACGAGGGTTCCTAGCACTCAGTGGTCTCTGATAAATGCTGTGGGTGGTAGGTGGGGCTGGAGCGAATGTGGTAAAGGGAATGGCCCTTGGCCTCCCAGTGAGAAGCCCCTGTTCCTGGCACCCTTACCCTCTTGCCAGGCCTTCACTCCATCCTGGAACCCCTAACCCATTTGCTCACACTTGCAGATGTGCTCAGGAAGGTCAAGAGACAGCCTTGCAGGGGTCAGGGCTGACTAGCCTCTATACTCCTCTGCCCACTCTTCCCTGGGAGCTGGCAGGTAGCTGAGACCATAAAAGCCTCAGGTGCCAAGGGAGCTTGTTGTTAGGAGGGTAGAGGTCTGCTGTTACATGGGATAGGCTGTTACATCAAGTGTCTGCCCTCCTCAGGGTAGGCCCTATTCCTGGAGTCCTCGTGGTGTCTGCCAACAGTTGCTCGGTTGGGGTAGAGGGTGGGGGAAGGGCTGAGCAGTTTCTCATGAGAACGTCTACTTCCTTCTCCGGTGCCAGAGGGAAGTCTCAAGTTGCCCTGAAGATCATCCGCAACGTGGGCAAGTACCGGGAGGCTGCCCGACTTGAAATCAACGTTCTCAAGAAAATCAAGGAGAAGGACAAAGAGAACAAGTTGTGAGTGTCAGCAAGGAAGGAAGAAAGCTTTCACTGGAGACAGCATCCTCTCTAGTCCTAATGGCCTGGACTCTCCTGGGGTTGAGCAGTGGCATCCTCTCACTTGGTTGGCACCATGCCTTCTCTGTACACTCAGAACCAGGGGAGTTGGGCCAGTGAGCCTTCCTGGGAGGAGTCTTTGGATTTCAGTTGTTTTAACCATGACCAGCTCTGAGTTCTGAGGCAGGCCTCCCAGCCCTGCATTTGTGAATTGGGGGCCTTACTTACTGGGTGTGATGGGCATTAGACAATCTTGTCAAACTGGAAGCTGCTTGGTGCTCGCATAGTCAGATACTCAAAGGAGAGCTGCCCTCTGTAACACTAAGCCTTGCGGACTCAGGAAAAAGGCACTGCTAGTCCTGTGGAGTATCCTGGCATCATTCCATCTTTCTTGGAGATTATGCCCATATGTTAAATAGGTGAGGCAGAAGACCTTGGACCAAAATGCCCCACCATCCCACCTCCTTCACAGCAAGAAGTTTAGTCCTTGCTCAGAGCTGATCTGGGTAATGGCTGGTGGGAGATGTACTCTTGCTGTTAACTGATTCTCTTTCCTCGTGTGTATTTGCATCGTGGTGTGTGACCCAGTGGCCTGGGAGAGAGTGGGAACTGACTTAATGGGGGTGGGGGTGGGGGGAGCAAGCCCCCTCAGCACAGAATCTCATCTATCCTTCTCCCCTAGCTTGTGCGTCTTGATGTCTGACTGGTTTAACTTCCATGGTCACATGTGCATCGCCTTTGAGCTCCTGGGCAAGAACACCTTTGAGTTCCTGAAGGAGAATAACTTCCAGCCTTACCCCCTACCACATGTCCGGCACATGGCCTACCAGCTCTGCCACGCCCTTAGATGTAAGTGTCCACCCTCAAATGGAGCATGGGGCAGCCACATACCTGGTGGGAAAGTCACCTGGTGGTCTTGCTCTCCCCCATTCACTCCAGCACATTGCTAACCATTCTGCTGAGCCTGAGACATACCCTTTGACTGAAAGGCCTTTAGGTATGCATCTGTGCAGGTGGAGAAGCTGCAGTCTCCTCCAGGGGCCTTCTGAGCCAGCCTCTGCCCGCAAGCACCCAGGAAGAAAAAAAGAAAGAGCTGCTTTAGAATTTTCCTAGCTACCAATCCCATTCCCACCTTCTTGCAAAGGATAAAAAAAGGTTGAAGTGACCTGGGAGATCCACCCACAGTTCCTGCACTCACAAACACCCTCTACTACTTCCCATCTCATCTGCCTGCTAGCCTTTAAGAGCATATTTGGTGACTGCACTCAGCACTGCAGGATTTGTGGTGGCTGGAGCAGGACAGCAGGGCTCCTTGTAGAGGAGGTAGACAGACTTAGAGCAGAGACTGTGTAGATGGAGGGGATGGTGAAGAGCACTCCAAGCAAGGCAAGCAGCTCATACTCTGGTGAAAGAGGGTGCATGTTGGGGAAAGGTGGGTCATACTACTGTGAGCGTGTGGAATGCCAGATGGAAACCTGGAGCCTGAAAGTGATGAGTGGAAGGGTGCCACACTGGTGGGATAGGGATGGGAGGGAAAAGACAGAATCCTTGCTTAGGGCTAGGAATGAGAAGAGGTAGGACTGACTTCATGGGTGGTCCTGTGCTTGATTTAATGCACTGTTGCCACCAGCTTGACACTCAATTTTTGAATGAAAGGACATGTATTTTCATATAGCCCCTGCAAATGATGTAGCTGGTGCTGGGGAGAGGGAGCCACCCCAAGGCTGATGCTGCAGCTTTGGTGAGAGACCGGGATGAGGAGGCCTAGCCCCTGCAGAGGAAGTGTTTTGAATTAAAAGTCCCACCCGCCCCATCTTCTAAAGCATTGAAACCCTCAAAATCCCAAAGCACAGAGAACCTCAGAGAGCCACAGCAGAGGCAGAACTATGTCTGCTCCCTTGGCCCACTGCTGAGGTTATGGTGTGAGGGTCTCTAGCCGACTGATTTTGGAGGATGGATCTGGTCTAGAGCTGGCAGGAGCTAGAGGAGAAGCCCAGATTCTCAGTCTGCTTCCCTCTCTCGATTCTCTAGTTCTACATGAGAACCAACTGACCCACACAGACTTGAAGCCAGAGAATATCCTGTTCGTGAATTCTGAGTTTGAAACCCTCTACAATGAGCACAAGGTATTGGTGGGAGAGGGTGAGGCTCCACTCCAGAGCTAGATTATCCATTGGGACAGAGTTCAGACCTGGCTCTCCTTCCTTGCCTTACAGAGCTGTGAGGAGAAGTCAGTTAAGAACACCAGCATCCGAGTGGCTGACTTCGGCAGTGCTACCTTTGACCATGAGCATCACACGACGATTGTGGCCACCCGTCATTACCGCCCGCCTGAGGTGATCCTTGGTGAGTGGCTATATGGCTCCAATCCAGATAAAGTGGGCTATTGCTGGGAGGGAATGAACAGACAGTGATGTGCCTGCCTGCCACCCAGGGCTGCCACTGTCATGAGTCACTGTGGTTGTCAACTTGGCCTGGCTGAGAAAGGGACCTATACTGGGGTTTGGGTAAGAGTCCTGTCAACCAGTGTGGCAGCTGCCCTGTGACCTCTAGGCTAGAAGCACAGGGCTGATTCTCATAGACTCTCTCCCTTTTGGCTTTCAGAGCTGGGTTGGGCACAGCCCTGTGATGTCTGGAGCATTGGCTGCATTCTCTTTGAATACTATCGGGGCTTCACACTCTTTCAGGTAACCCCCCCCCCCCACACACACACACACACATTGCCCTGCTACCTTGGGTGCTCATACTGGGGCTGGCCACAGAAGCCTGGTGTGGGAAGACCTTCCAAGCCCCACCAGTCAGCATACTGTAAGATTCACTCTTGAGAGTTGTAAATGCTTAGGGAAGGGAAGAGGTCAATAGCTGGAGCACTTAGACTCCGGAGTGGATTGGGGCTGGAGAAGTGAGCATTTGAGGCATGAGGCATGGCCTAAGTGAGGGTGTGGAGATGGGTTGGGGCAGGTTATGCTCTAGGAAGAGAGAAGGCTACCACAAGGTCAGAGGCTGGGAAGACACTTACCCATCCTTCTTTTTTGTCCCTTATCTTCCCTGAGGGGCTGAGGCTGGTACTAACTCCTGCTTGCTCTATCCCTGACCTTCCATAGACCCACGAAAACCGAGAGCATTTAGTGATGATGGAGAAAATCCTAGGGCCCATCCCATCACACATGATCCACCGTACCAGGTAAGGAGGCCTGGCCCATAGGCATTTCCCATCTTGGCTGTGGGTCAACAAACTACTACAGTCTTTGCAGAATATGCTATGGCACTCCTCCAGGCTCATAGCAGCCTTCCTTGTGGCCTGACAGACCTGCTGCCCACACCTTCCTGCCCTGCTGGGTCAGCCCAGGATTTCCTGCCTGGCTTTGCTGCATTCGCTGGGCTGCCGCTACCCCATCCCCCCCCAACTGATCGCCTCCCTTCCTTCATTTTCAGGAAGCAGAAATATTTCTACAAAGGGGGCCTGGTTTGGGATGAGAACAGCTCTGACGGCCGGTATGTGAAGGAGAATTGCAAACCTCTGAAGGTCAGTTTCTGGCTTCCCCCAGCTCAACTCATGCCAAGGAGACGCCAGGCACTGGGCACACACACAGAGACAGGCCAGGCAGCTAAATGCTGCCCCCTTGCTCCAGCTCTATGGGAGGCTGCACCCAGGGCTGCTAGTTGCTGGGAGTGGAGCTTCTTTCAGACTGCTCCAGAGGGACCCTCAGTCCTACCCCTTCCCAGCAGGGTGGCTATCATTGTAATTGGGGAACACCAGAAGAGTTAAGTATCCAAGACCCTGCTGCTTTCTGCCCCTCTCTTTTAATTTTGGGAAAAACTAGTCAGGACTGAGGTGAGGGGGAGGGAAGACTTAGACATGGTCAGGAAGCTTCTGTCAGCTGCATTTGGTGCATGGACAGTGAATTTCGCAGAGGTGATTTTTATCCACCTGTCAGGACTTTGCATGTTGGGGCAGAGGCACCAAACCAGCAAGACTCCCAGTAGCCTGACAAGTTCAGAGCAAAATGCTCTAACAGACATGAAAAGAAAAGAGCTGCTCATTATCCAAGAGTGGCAAGGCTTCCCACGCCCCTGCCATCACACTGAGGCACCTTGTGTCCCTGAGCAGAGTTACATGCTCCAAGACTCCCTGGAGCACGTGCAGCTGTTTGACCTGATGAGGAGGATGTTAGAGTTTGACCCTGCCCAGCGCATCACACTGGCGGAGGCCCTGCTACACCCCTTCTTTGCTGGCCTGACCCCTGAGGAGCGGTCCTTCCACACCAGCCGCAACCCCAGCAGATGACAGGCACAGGCCACTACACAAGGAGATGGAGAGTGGGACTGGGCTTCCTGGCCCCCTTTCTCCAACCTCTAACCATCGGGCCCCAGGGCCAGAGCCACCCAATGAACAGTGCAATGTGAAGGAAGGCAGGTGCCTGCAGGGGCGGAGATGTGATGCCCAGCTGCCAGAAAGCACAGATTTGACCCAAGCTATTTATATGTTGTAAAGTTATAATAAAGTGTTTCTTACTGTTTGTAACCCCTGGTACCAGTGTGTCCGTCTCCAGGCTCCTTGCCTTCTCCCTTCCCTATCTTATTAATAAAGTCTTTCTTAGCATTTCAGCTTGTGGAGAGCTAAGTGTGAACTGGACCAGGCACAGAAGGGCAGTTTTAGCCCTGAGGTGGCAGGCCTGCTGAACAGTCCTAGAAGGCACTTAGGCCCTGTCCTACACCTGTTCCCCTGCTGGTCCTTGTACCTCTCAGCCCCAAGGAATAGAAGGGGAAAGACCCACTGCAGTTCACCAGTTTTACCTATCCCAGCCCTGTCACTGGCTGGCACGTTAGGCTGTATGTGCCCAACAACTGTGGTTTACTGAAGGCTGTCAAGTGTGGGACAAGGTGGGCTCCCTAGGGCTGGGGTGGCAGTACCTCACTGCAGCATACAGAGTAGAATTTACCAGAGCACAGGACTCCGTCATTCAGCTTTATTTTAGTGCTGGTTTTTGGTTTCCAAGAGCTTCATGAGTGATAGTCTTGATCACCTGACTGGAGCCCCTTGGAGACTGGGGACTGTGGGGCAGGATGCCTCTAAAAGAGCCAGAGACACAGGAGTCATGCTTATCTTCAGTAGCACTGGGGAAGGCCCAGGCTGAGGGCAGGAAGAGGCTCCAGTGCCACTAGGGGAGAAAAAAAACTTGGGCACAAATTCCCAGTGGCCTCCTCAAGGCCATCATCCCAGCCCCTCAAGGGCCACTGCAACTTACTGGAGCCAGGGTTCTCGTTTGTTTTCGGTGTACTCAATCAAGTAACCTAACCACATTAACAGGCAGCCAGCACCTGTTTAATGGTTGCTTACTACAATGCCTGTAATCCAGCACTGCTCAGATTATGGCCCTGTGACTACAGAGAGGGCCCCATCTTGGGAGCTGCTTGGTCCTGAAAGTGAGCAGAGGGTCAAGGAGGATATATACCACAGGGCTGACAGTCTCTGGCCTCTTCCCACTGCTGGAGACAATTTAACATTTGAGAAAGGATAGGAGGGAAAGAGGGACCAGCCCTGTCTGTCCTGCCTCATCTGTGTCTGGTTATGCTCCTATAAGTGATTAAGTAGTCTGAGACCAGAGCCTACCTACCCTGTGTCCACAATCCTTGGTGAGCCTTCCCACTCACCCCTTTAACCAGATTGGGTAGGCATAGAGAAGAAGGAAGCCTGAAGCCCCGAAAACGGCTTTAAAGTACAAGCCTTTGGCAAGGGCAGCTGCCAGGAACTCCAGGGCATGGCTCCTGTTCTACCAGCCCCCAGGGCCTAGGCCTGTGAAGGTCCAGGGGCTTAGTACCTTAGCTGAGCAGCAGTGTGTTCCTATGGCTGAGTCACATCAGTTAGCTCATCAGGAAGTAGTCTCATTTTGGCATCTCTGAGATAGGGTGCTGGCCCCAAGTAGACAATCAAAAAGCATTCAAACGAGGGACATGTGCCCTGCTCTGGGACGACAGCTACAGAGGACTGTCTCAGGAAGGGCAGAGGGAACAAAACAATAGGGGTGTATATGCAGGCAAGGAGGTGTGAGTGTTGGCCTTAGAAGTACCAGGGAGCCTCTATGAGCTCAGCAACAACCACACACCAGGGTCTTCACAATACTGAACATTCAAGCTGCACCCTGAGGGTCTGGCCTCAGACTAAGCAAATGCTCAGCCCCCAGCTAGAGAGGGTATGGGGGTGGTGGGGTTGGGGGTGGGGGCACTGATGGCAAGGTGGGCATTGTGGTTCTATAGTAACATAACCTTACACTACCTGTGCTGAAGACAACAGAAATACAGTGTAAAATCCCAGTACAGTAGAACCATTCTGATACCACCCCCTTCCCTACCTATCAGAGTGGTGTAGAAAGGAGGAAGGACCTTTGGGGGAAAATCCCAGCATAAAACTCCAATCAGCTCAGGAGAAAGGGTCAAAAGCCCCCAAATAAACTTGTGGTAGGGCTCAGGGGAGGCCCCACAGACCTCAAGATGAATGGGAAGTGCAAGTCTGCCCTCTAGTGGACAGCTGCAGTGCAGCTAGTTGTACATGATCAGAGGAGTGGACAAAGCCACCAGCTCTGAAATAGATGAAGTACAGGCCCCCAAACAGCACTGCAAGACCCTGCAAGATGCTCACCCAAGCCCAGTGGCTATAAACCTGAAATACAGCTGCCTATGGTCTGTAAACAAAGCCTCACTTGGCCATGCAGGAGACTAAGTGTAGAAATGCCTGGAGTCACTGTGCACTCAGCCTGCCATCTGCCTCACACACCCAGTGGGAAAGCCTTTCCTAGCGAAGGGCACATGACAGGTCAGCTTTAAATACATGATCTCAAAAGAAAAAATATATATGATCTGTTCTCAGAAGAAACAAACCCAAAAGAAAAAAAATTAACAAGGTCCATTAAACTTCACTTCCTTAAGGCGTTCGTTGTCAAGTTCAGCATCAGGAGCAGCAGGGGACTACAGGGTACAGCCTGCCCAGAGCCCCTCTAGGCAGAGTGTAGTGGGATGACAAACTTGCAGCCAAAGGGTGAGTGGTAGTTGATCCCCACCTCCTGGAATACCTGCTGGGGAATGCCAATGTCACACAAATAGACACGGCCTGCGTGCTCTCCCAGTGGCAGCGGCAGGCCCAGAGCCAGTGACCACTTGGCATCGATGCCCTGTTCAACTTCATGCACCGGAGGATCTATGCTGAGTACTGGTGCCCGGTTCTGGTTGGCCCAAGCCACAGCTGCCTTGTACCAGGGCTGATCTCGCAGGAAGGCATTCTCGGGACAATCCAGACAGTTGATCACCAGGTCCACAGGACTAGTGGGCAGATCTGCAGGTGGAAAGAGTATCATCTGAAAACCCCTCTAAGCAGAGAGCCCAGACTGGGAGTAGAACCCAGGTGGCCCCTTGATTGTCTTATCCAGACACCATTCTGATGCCTCTCCAGAGGCCAGTCTTCTAAGGCTGGGCCAGGACTAAGGCCCTAGGAGTTCCAAGGCTTGGTGGGGCTGGATGCTAGAGACCAAGGGCATGTCAGCCCGATGGACCACTGGCCTCATGGAACTCACAGGCTGAAACACTGTCCTGCTGGGTGTGCAGACCTTCTCACAGCACAATCTGACTAACTCCCTGGGAATATTATGTGCTCCAGGAAGGTGGGGGTCTACTGCCGAGTCAGCACTCATAGGGAGACCCTGAATGCCATTTGCTGACTGGCCCTAGAAGTGTGAGCAAGCAATAGCCTGTGCACTTATTTTACTGTGGGCTGGCCCACTCACCCTGCTGGAGCCACCTGGCCTAGCTGGTCTCTCTCACTACTGTCACAGAAATGGGTCCTCCTTGAAGCTCAACCTTAAGAATGGGGAAGGAACCTATCACTTCTCCCAGGCATTTAAAAAGGCTTCTCCACTCTAACCAGGCCTCTGAGACAGTGAACAGATGTCTCAGTAAGTACATAACACCTGACTGGGGTAAGAAGTTAAACTGAGATTAACAGAATTGGACCAAACTCAAAAGCCTTAAGCTTGTAGAGTTGGGACAGGAAGCCTTTTGGGGAGCAAGACAAAGAACTGCATGGGATAGGCATTGTGTTATAGATTTCAAGAGGAGGAGCCTATACCAGGCCCCCTTCCCAGGTCTCAGCCTAAACAAATATTTCTCAATTGGAGACCCATGGCTTCCTTACTTAGGACAGGGCACCATGGGTCTACATGCCCATAGGTACCTGACTTAAGAGTACTCGACATCGCCCTGGCCGGTTTGGCTCAGCGGTTAGAGCGTCGGCCTGCGGTCCCTAGAGACCCGGGTTCGGTTCCCGCTAAGGGCACGTACCTCGGTTGCGGTTTGTCCCCGGCCCTGGTTGGTCGTGCGGGTGGCAGCCACTCGAGGTGTCCCTTTCACATCGATGTTTCTCTCTCTCTCTTCCTCTCTCTCCCTCCCACTCTACCTGAACAAAAAAATGGAAAAAATGTCCTCGGGAGAGGATAAAAAAAAAAAAAAAATAGAGTACTCGCCATCTAACCCCTGGCAAAGCCCTTTCTCTGGGCCATATTTATTCTTTCCACTTCTCCCCTGTTCTCACTTAAACCCACTCCAATCAGACTCTACCCCTGCTACTCCACTTGAAATTGCTATTCCACACTGCTAAATCCAGTGGTCAATTTTCTCATTCTTCATTTGAACTTAACCTAGAATATGTTGCTGACATAATTCATCATACCCTCCTCTGTTCACTTGCCTTTTAAGTGCCAAATTTTCCTAGTTTTCCTTCTTGTTCACTGACCATTCCTTCCCTGTCTCTTTAGCTGGTCTTTAACTCCCTGGCATCTAAACAAAGCAGTCAGTCCAACAACTTCTCTATTTACTCTCTTTTCCTAGGAGATACCTTATTCAAAGTCATAATGCATTTAAATACTACATACACACTTGAAACTCCAGAGTGGATCCCTTCACTAAACTCCAGGCTATATATACATCAATCAACATTTCCACCTGTGTATCCAGCATCTCTGAGCTTCTGCTCTTACCCCACAAACCTTGTCCCCCAAGTCTTCCTATCTCAAGTGATGGCACCTCCATTCTTCCAGTTACTCAGGCCAAAGACCTTGGAGTCACTTTTAACCCTTCTCTTTCTCTCATCCCCTTCATTCAATCTGTATACTCTATCTTTAAAACTGATTCAGAGCCCTGGCTGGTTTGGTTCAGCGGTTAGAGCGTCGGCCTGCGGTCCAGAGCGACCCGGGTTCGGTTCCCGCTAAGGGCATGTACCTCGGTTGCAGTTTGTCCCCGGCCCTAGTTGGTCGTGCGGGTGGCGGCCACTCGATGTGTCCCTTTCACGTCGATGTTTCTCTCTCTCTCTCTCTCTCTCTCTATCTGAACAAAAAAATGGAAAAATGTCCTCGGGTGAGGATAAAAAAAAAAAAAAACTTGTTCAGAAACTAACACCTTTTACCATGTTCACTGTCTTAGCCACTATCATCTCTCTCCAATTTATCACCTCTCTCTCTCTTTTTTTAATCCTCACCCAAGGACATTTTTCCACATTTTGTTCAGATAGAGTGGGAGAGGGAGAAAGAGAGAAACATAAACGTGAAAGGGACACATTGAGTGGCTGCCACCCACACAACCCAACCAGGGCCGGGGACAAACTGCAACCGAGGTATGTGCCCTTAGCAGAAACCGAACCCGGGTTTCTCTGGACCACAGGCTGACACTCTAACTGCTGAGCCAAACTGGCCAGGGCCACAACAGCCTCTTAACACCTCTCTTTGTAAGCCTATAGTCTACTCTCAAGCAGCAGCTAGAATGACCATTTTGGAACCTGAGCTGGATTACATCTTTCTGCTACTTATTTCTCCAGTGATTTTTAAAAAATACATTTTTATTGATTTTTTAGAGAAAGAGGAAGGGAGAGAGATAAAACACGGATCGGCTGCCTCCTGCATGCCCCCTACTGGGGATCAAGCCTGCCCCAGGTACATGCCCTGACCGGGAATAGAACTGGGACCTCTCAGTCCATGGGGCAATGCTCAATCCACTGAGTCACATTGGCCCGGCTCTCCAGTGATTTTCTATCTCACCTTAGTTAAAGTTCAAACCCTTACGGTGATCCACAGGCCCTTTATAACCTGACGCAGAAATGTCTAAGTCTGCTACTCCTCACCCAACCCTCCAACACTCTCTTTTCTCTTCCCTGCGTCATTTGTCTCCATAACACTACCATCTGACCTTATAGAAATGTTACTTATTTGTCTCTTCAATCTGTCCTAGCCAGAATGTTAAGCTCCATTGAAGTATATATTTAAGAAAAAATAATCTATTGCCTTATTCCCAGCGTCAGGAACAGTACCTGTTCGATAAATATTTGTGAAATGAATAAATGGATCCCCAGCTCTCCACCTGAGTATGGGACAAGGAGGACGAACGGATGGGAAGTAAGCAAGTCAACACCAAAGTATTTTCTATTTGTACTACAACTCCTTACAGGCAGAGAATGCTTTATACTCAGTGCTTTACCACCTGTTGCCACTGGGTGGCACCACCAGACCATCAAACTACTGAGGAGGGAGGTAGCCTCAGCCCAGCACTGTGCAAATGCTCACCTTTAAGACTAGACACTTGTTGGCCTTGGGTCTTGCTGAAGAGAGACAGCTCATTGGTGATAGACTCTAGCATCTTGACAAAGTTGGGCAGGAAGAGGATGACCTGAACATCATGGTTGGCTAGGTGCCTTCCACAGCTGATACCCTGAGCCCCCTTTACATGGGGCCCACATAGCAAAGCCACTGTAGGCCTCTGGTGAACATTTTTGGGATTCAACCTGGAATAGAGGTAAAGAAGCATTTTCAGTTGCAGACCTGGCAAGCCCTTGTACCCTAAACAAAGCGAGTGCCAAGGCACCTGTTGCTCTCAGAGTTCCTGATGGTTCCAGGTTGCAAAGGTCTACAGGGTGTCCCACACTCCAGTGTCACTTCATCTGCTGGATCTTCTCACTAGGTAGTTCACCCAGATCTTGTTTCACAGAACACTGTTTTCTGACCAAGAACATTTACTGTTCTCACAGTGTGAATCTATTAGGTCCAAACTCTGTTTAACTTCTACAGCCTTCTTTGCTTTTTTCCCCCAACATGCTTGCCCCACTGCAGTATGTTTGGTCTCATTAATCTTCTCCTGCACTTGTAAAGCTTTTGTCTGCTGCTCAAACTGTGTCCTCTACCCAGAAAGCCCACCTTTTCTTTGAGACCCAGCTCAAAGCTCACCTTTTCTAGGATCACCCTGGCTCAGCTTCTAAAAAATCACAGCAAGTGCTAAACAGGATAGTTCTATATCATCCTCAATTAGTTATCAGTCCAAGTTCTCTTTACTGAGCTGCCAGTAAGCTTTAATAAGGACAACATTCTAGATACTAATAGGAACTACTTCATAGGATGCTGTGTTGATCAGCACTGAGAACAGGGTCCAACACATAAAAGTGCTTGATAGATGTTGGTCCATCAGAGTGCTGGTCATAGAGGAGACAGTGGGCTAGGGCTTCCCAGCCTCCTAGACTGGCAGTTGACTTGGATACGCACTTCCAGATGAAGTCACTTTCAGTTTCCTGCCATTCAAGAAAGATCTCTCTGATCTCAGAGAAGTCACGAGTAAGGTTGGAGGATTAGCCTTGGAGCTGTGCCCAACTCACAAGCAGTGCCATCTGCCCCCAGGGCGGGAAGGGGGAAGAAAACAGAAATCAGCTTAGGTCCCTGTTTGGGGTGGAGCAGTGATAGTCACTAGTCTCCCAAAGGGAAAAAAATGACAGCTGCTGTCAGGCCAAAGAGGAAACTCCACCCTCCAAATAAATTTTGGGGAATACCATTCATTTCCTCCACTATAGTTGCCTCTTTAGGAAATAGGAGTACTCCAGACAAACACTGCAGAGTTCTGGCATATGACTCACCCCTGTCTGTTTCCTAAATGGACTCTCCCTGTCCGAGAGGCATCCCCCATTAGAGGACTCAAAGCAGACCACGGCACCCACACACGCAGCAGCAGGGGCAGAGCACAGGCACTGGAAACAGATCTATCTACATCGGGCACCACCACATAAAGGCAGGGTCACGTGATGTGGGAAGTGTTTCAGCTCTAGCTCTCTGAGCCTTAGCTGGCTCATCTTAAAACACCAGACTACTACTCACCTTTGAGGTGAAGTTATGAGTATCAGATTCACTGCTATTGTGAAAGCAGTGGAAAAGCACATAATCATTGACATATACAAAAATGATTACTAATGTGCTCATCTTTCTCAAAGGAAAACCAGCAATTACTGCAAAGGACAACAGAAGGCCCTTCTGAGAGTTTAGACAAACACAAGGATAGCCAGCTCCAAGAAGCTGGCTTGAGAGGAATATAACTTTGTGGGGACACGCAGATCCTGCCCCAAAACTAATGTTTCTGGGAAGCCACTTAACGGCCTCAAATACTCCTGCGAAGAACTTATCCCAGGAGCTGCCCCAATGGCCATTTTGGGCAGAGGTGCAGCAGTCATCAGAACCAAGGGCCTGGGGCTCCATCAGAGGCAGCTTGCACTATTCCCTCCTTTGGGGAGGGGAGTTTCTCCATCGGCTCTTCCCTGGCACAGGACGGTTGAGAAGCTAGCCTAAATCAAGAGCAAGGAGGAATAAACACACCTACAACTCTATATGGCAAGGGAAGTGGAGGAGCAAGAAGGGGAAACCTCACATCCAGCTCAGCTCACTTTAGACACCCCTCTCCCACAAAGTTGCACTGTCCTCTTTATTGACAAATGCAGCAGACACTTTGCTTGATCTCCCAGCAGTACTACTGCTGACCATTCCTTTATTCTTCCAACACGGTCTCTTGGGTTCTGAAGCACTATCCTCTTGGTTTTCTTACCTCTCTGGCTTTTTTTCTCAGCCATTTTGTTTTTGTTTTTATTTATTTATTTGTTTGTTAATCCTCATTTGAGAATATTTTTCCACTGACTTTTTAGACAGAGTGGAAGAGAGGGAAGGGGGAGGGGGAGAGAGAAACATCAGTGAAAAAGAGACACATTGATTGGCTGCCTCCCCCACAACCCGACCAGGGCCAGGGATCAAACCTGCAAGCCAGGTATGTGCCCTTTACTGGGAATTGAACCCAAGAACCTTTGGTCCATGGGCCAACGCTCTAACTGCTGAACCAAACCGGCCAGGATTTTCTCAGCCATATTGGAAGGCTCTTCATCTTAACTGCCTTTAATGCTGATGTTTCCCAGAATTCCACCCCAGGCCCTTCCTCTCTTTAAACCAGCGGTTCTCAACCTGTGGGTCACGACCCCTTTGGGGGTTGAATGACCCTTTCACAGGGGTCACCTAAAACATAACAGTAGCAAAATTACAGTTATGAAGTAGCAACAAAAATAATTTTATGGCCCTGGCCAGTTTGGCTCAGCGGTTAGAGCGTCCGCCTGCGGTCAAGAGAGACTCGGGTTCGGTTCCCGCTAAGGGCATGTACCTCGGTTGCAGTTTGTCCCCGGCCCTGGTTAGTCGTGCGGGTGGCAGCCACTCGATGTGTCCCTTTCACATCGATGTTTCCATCTCTCTCTCTTCCTCTCTCTCCCTCCCACTCTACAAAAAATGGAAAAATATCCTCGGATGAGGATTAAAATAATAATAATGATAATAATAATTTTATGGTTGGGGGTCACCACAACATGAGGAACTGTTAAAGGGTCGCAGCATTAGGAAGGTTGAGAACCACTGCTTTACCCCCTCTCCTTACAGGATCTCACTATTCTACACCATTTATAAGCCGATGGCTTCCAGACCTCTCTTTTGCTCAAAACTTCTTCTAAACCTCAGATCCAGACTGCTAATTGGCTATTCATAGGCCTCTCAAACCTAACATACCCAAAACAAGATCCACCATCTTCTCCATACCTGCTCCTCTTCCCACGTTCCCTATCACACTGAATGTTATCACTATCTGACAAGGTATCCATCTTGGAAAGCTTAAAGTTTAGTGACCACAGGACACTCCACTTTCCATCACCTCCCATATCCATTCAATGACTCTGCCCTGTTGATTTTATCTTTTTTTTGAATCTCACCTGAGGACATTTTTATATTCATCTTCAGATAGAGCAGGAGGGAACGAGGGAGGAAGAGAGAGAGAGAGAGAAACATCGATGTGAGAGAGATACATCGACTGGTTGCCACCCACACAATCCCAACCAGGGCTGGGGACAAACTGCAACCGAGATACGTGCCCTTAGTGGGAACTGAACCCGGGTCTCTCTAGTCCGCAGGCCGACACTCTAACTGCTGAGCCAAACCGGCCAGGGCTGATTTTATCTTTTAAAAAATCCCTCACCTAGCCTGGCCAGTATGGCTTAATGGACTGACCATAGACCCATGGACTGAGAGGTCCTGGTTCGATTCCCGGTCAGAACACATGCCTGGGTTGCGGGCTCAGTCCTCAGTAGGGGGTGTGCAGGAGGCAGCCAATTGATGTTTCTCTCTCAAATCGATGTTTCTATCTCTCCCTTCCTCTACCTCAATTAAACAAGAATTAAACAAAAAAATTTTTTTAATTATAAACAAAAATCAATTAAAAATAATCCTTCACCTATTTCCACTTCTCAGATCCCTAATTCCCTAGTTGGGGCCACTATCCTTTAGCCCCTGGCTCAGTTTTCTGTTACAGTTTACTAAATGGTCTCAATGCCTCCAGTCTTGCCTCCACTCAAATCTACTCAGCCAAAGTCATCTTTGTAAAATCCAAGACGAATTTACTGAAATCTCTTTAGCAGCTCCCCATTGCTCAGCTGCACCTACTTTCCAACCATACAGAATGACTTATTGCCCCCACCACTTCCACAGTCTCTCAATCTTTCTGCTCTTGGCACATGCTACTTCCCAGATCTAGACTAATTTTCCCCCTTCCCATTGCCCCTGTTACATCCCCTTTGCTCTGCAGGACTCAGCTTGGATGCTCTGTTCTGGGAAGAGTGACTGGCTTGTTCTTCCTGGAGTAGAAAAAATGTGGCTTGCTAGAGATGCGTTAGAGAAGCAAACAAAAACCTCCAGCATCCAGGAAAGTGACTTCATAAAGACATTTCCATAGATGTGCAGCAACTGTCCAATAAATACCTCTTGTGTGATGCCCTGTGGTGAGGCCCAAGGCAGAGCAGCATCAAACCCCACGTAGCCCCCACCAATCTAGAGGCATTTACCTGTTGGGTCCTCCAAGTAGAGTCAGTGCCATCTGACTGGCACACACGCCTGTCATCTCCAGTCTCCGCTCCAGAGTCAACCCATGCTTTTCCGCCACAGACAACAGCTTTTTATGTAGCTCATAGGAAACACTTGGAACAACCAGGCCAGAGTCTGCAGTTCAAAAGGAGGTGTAGAGAGAAAGGAGCAGTGATTACAGGAAACTAGGTCCACAAATAGGTGTACTCAATCTAGAATTCTGTGAAATCTCCAACTTTGAGACTGACTGACCTTCCCCTGACCCAACTGCCTCACCTGGGACTGGGGCACGCTATGCAGCCCCAAAGGCTCAGGCAGTGGATGGGGAACTGCCTAATAACTTGTTCAGGTTACCACAAAGCAGGGTTTATGAAGCTTTGACCACGAAGACCAAATCTACCAAGATATATTTGGTACTACCAAGAAAAGGCCGGCACAGAGCATGTAACAGCAACCTATGAACCACATCACAAAGTGGGAGAAATGCCATCTTGGCAGTGCAGTTTTCTTTATAGGTAGACCCCTTATCCTTCTCCAGAAGTCAAACAAACACTACCTAACCCTCCCAAGCCTCTGGTCCCACTATTCAGTTTCAAGGAAGGATGACTTGTCCATCCCATCTGCTCCCCACTTCTTCCTCCTCCTATCTTCTACTTACCTTTCCTCTTTGCTTAAGAAATTTCAATTAGCAAATTGTCTTCTCAAAGAATTTGTCATTTTCTGCCCATTTGAGGCAAATGTAAGTGACCCAATACTCATACCACAGAGAAAGAGTACATGGAAAGTAACCTATGGCTTGCTTTAAACTACTCAGAAGAATCTTGAACATTTTATTCACCATAAATAAAGAAAATTCTACAAAGGTTAGAAAGAATAACAGACACTGAAAGTACTTGGTTATAAAAGGCCAAAGGCTGCAGCAGCTGGTACACTTGAAGAAGTCTACAGTATTATATGCATCAGTGTCAACACACCACATGCCATTTCAGGGCCCAGAAAACCAAGACAGAAAGAAACAGTAAAGTTAAAAATATATAATAAGCAGCTTTTCCCTTGACAACCAAGGCCATCTAACAAATGCTAAAAGCCACTGGGAGCAAACTCACTGCCAAAGAGCCCTATTTGGCCTCACTGGCTGACAGACTAACAGACACAGATTCTCATTAGCAAGTTATTGTAGACCACATGCAACTAGCTCTTTCTGGCTAGATCAGACACCTTTTTAGATCCTATGTCATGATCTATACTGAATTGTCAACTCCTCAAAGTAGGGAAATAAGCCTGTACTTCCTGGGCCCCCACCTCCTCAACTTGCCTTAGCTATATTTGTCAACAGATGTGAGCTCTGATCATATCCTCAACCATATACAGGGGTGGGGAACATCCATCCCGAGGGCCTCATAGGCCTGTGAAATCATTTGGTCTGGCCCTGCCAAGACAACCACAGGTGGGACTCAAAATGTAATAAATCTAGAAGTTTTTTTCATACCAACATAAATTTATATCAAGTGAATCATAATAATAATGTAAATTTTGAGGGACAAGCAAGGAACATCCATTACAGGACAGACAGGACACATACGAGTACATGACAGGACAGACACATATGCTTCTCGTCGGCTGCCCATGGCCCATCTGCCTGTATTGCAGTGACTCAGAGGACAGTCAGTGCCAGGCAGGCTGGGAATGTACAAGTTGCAAAAGAGTTAATACATTGTGGTGAAACTACTTCAATTCAGTGATGATGAGATGAGATGAGGTGAGCTGTGATGAGATGATTCCTCACAACATTGAAGACCTTGCCTCTGATGATTGATGATGATGTTGTGGACTTCTTTGTCAACACAGAGGATAACTCCAATCCAACCTTGGTCCACATGTCCACGATCAACCATCCTCGAAAAAACTGAATCTCAGATGAAGACTAAGGAAATCACAGTCCACAGAAAACACCTCAAGAATCAATGATATAAGTGTTGGATGTGTTCCAAATCCAAAGTGCAGGATTAGAACAGCAATCAAACAAAATAATCGCATCGCTGGTGATGCGATTTAATAACGATAGTTATTTTTTTGTTTTGTTTTGTTTTTATCCTCACTCGAGAACATTTTTCCATTTTTTGTTCAGATAGAGTGGGGAGGGAGAGAGAGAGAGAGAGAGAGAAACATCTACATGAAAGGGACACATTGAGTGGCTGCCACCTGCACAACCCAATCAGGGCCGGGGACAAACTGCAACCGAGGTACATGCCCTTAGCGGGAACCGAACCCGGGTCTCTCTGGACCGCAGGCCGACACTCTACCGCTGAGCCAAATCGGCCAGCGCAATAACTGGATAGTTATTAAAACTTAAGTGGTGTGACATCCTACAAATGACAACTACAAAGAAAAGAAATGCTGATGCAGAGTGTCAATATTTCCAAGAGAAACGGACAAACGATTATATTTTTGTTGACATCAAAGGCAAACCTGTGTGCCTAGTTTGTGGCAATGAGTTAGCAGTAATGAAAAAAGCCAATCTGGAGCGTCATTACAGCTCAAAACATGCTAAACTCAATGAATTGGGAAGCCAAATGTGTCTGGATAAAAACAATGCTCTTCAGCGGAGTTTGGAAATCACAGCAAGCCACCTTCACCAGGCCTCGCTGTGACAGACAACGTTATTCAGATGAGTTGTGTAGTGAGCGAGCAGATCGCAAAGAAGCTGAAGTCTCATGTAGAGGGAGAGTTTGTGAAAGAGTACATGGTGGCTGTCTCAGAGGAGTCATTAGCACCAGACAAAGTAAAATTGTTTCAGAGTATCAGTTTGTCTCAAAGACCTGTCTCAGATCGTATTACTGATTTAGCACAAGATATTGAAAAAACACTGAAGGATTCTGCAGAAGAGTTCCAATTTTTCTCTCTGGCTTGTGATGAGACAACAGACATAAAAAATACTGCCTTGCCCTGGCCAGTTTTGCTCAGCGGTTAGAGCATCAGCCTGTGGTCCAGAGAGACCCGGGTTCGGTTCCCGCTAAGGGCACATACCTCGGTTGCAGTTTGTCCCCGGCCCTGGTTGGGTTGTGTGGGTGGCAGCCACTTGATGTGTCCCTTTCATGTCGATGTTTTTCTCTCTCTCTTCCTCTCTCTCCCTCCTACTCTATCTGAACAAAAAGTGGAAAAGTGTTCTCGGGTGAGGATAAAAAAAAAAATACTGCCCAACTGGCTGTTTCATTCATGGGAAAACTGCAGATTGACATGCGAGAGGAACTCCTATCACTGGAAGATGGCACTACAAGAGGTGAAGACATGTTTTATTAATGAAAAAACTTGAGGTAACATCTGAAAATTTAAGTGGTCTTACTATAGATGGAACTCCAACTACTGTTGGCTCCCAAAAAGGGTTGATTGCATTTGTCAAGAAAGAACTGAATCGTCTCAGTCTTGATCCAAGTGACTTAATTATATGCCACTGCATCACACACCAAGAAAGTCTCTGTGCAGTCGTTGTGGCTCAATAATGTGATGTCAACAGTAGTGTCATACATAAATTTTGTCAAAAGCAGAGGGTTTAACAGCCGTCAGTTTAAGGAGTTACTGAATGATCTTGACTCTGAGTTCAGTGATCTTGTGAAATGTGGTGGCTGAGTCGTGGGAACATGCTCATGAGGTTTTATGAACTGCGGGATGAAGTCAAGCAGTTCATGGAGATGAAGGGAAAACCTGTCAGGGAACTCAGTGATAGCAACTGGCTGTGTGATTTAGTGTTCATGGTGGACATTACTAAGTACCTCTCAGAGCTGAATATCAAGCTGCAGGGCCGCAACCAGCTTCTCAGCTCCCTGCTTTTTTTTTTTTTTTTTTTTTTTTTAATCCTCATCCGAGGACATTTTTCCATTTTTTGTACAGACAGAGTGGGAGGGAGAGAGAGGACGAGAGAGAGAGGGAAACATCGATGTGAAAGGGACACATCGAGTGGCTGCCACCCGCACAACCAACCAGGGCCGGGGACAAACTGCAACCGAGGTACATGCCCTTAGCGGGAACCGAACCCGGGTCTCTCCGGACCGCAGGTGGACGCTCTAACCGCTGAGCCAAACCGGCCAGGGCTCAGCTCCCTGCTTTCAAACATGAAATCATTTGAAGCTAAATTAAGGCTGTGGAAAGTGCAACTTGAAAGGAATAACACAGGGCATTTCCCCACTCTGGAAGGACAAAGCCTTTGACAACACTTGAATATGCTGGTGAATGTGCAAAACAAATTGAGGCATTTAATGGAAGATTCAAGGATGTGAAAAGTAAACAAATGGAACTGAACATCTTTGCTACACTGTTCAATGTGGAACCAGCTGATGTGCCTAATAACCTACAACACAAAATCATTCATTTCAACGGCAAAGCAATGATGAGCTGAAAGCTAGGTACAACAACTTCCTACTGCTTGAGTTCTATAAATGTTCCATAAACAATGATGAATTTCCCACTTTGAGGAGACATGCATTGAAATATGCATGTGTTCAGAACAACTTACTGCTTTGAGCAGTTTTTTTCAAAACTTACCATTACAAAGAGTCAACTGCACTCCAGACTAACCAACACAAACCTGGACAAGCAGGTGCAAGAAGCAGCATCATCAATACCAGCTAACATCACATGCCTCACCAAAGAGAAGCAGTTACAGCCATACGATAGGGGTGAGTTAATTAAATGTTTGACCAAATACAGCAGGCTAATTTTTAATGATAATTTTCTGTGGCCCACAAATGATGTTATAAATATTCAAATGGCCCTTGGAAGAAAAAAGGTTCCCACCCCTGACATAAGTGATGCAAACCTTGTGCTATTTCTGGTCTGACCAAAACTCAAAGGTGAAAGTTCATCATCATCCTGTTGGTTCCAGAGTCTTGAATAGAAAAAGTTGTCTTTCTCACTGACCACTCCAGGAGAAATTTCTTGAGGATCTATCAGGCATCCAGTCCTGCCTACACACACAAAAATTTTTTTTTAAACTAGGCAAAGAGCTTTATTAACCTTTGTTTCAAACTCTATTCCCAGGCCTCATCAGCTTAATTAGCTGCAAAGAATGATTTGCATATAAGGCAAAAACTGAAAGGAGCTGCAGTATCCAAGGTGCTTAGGCTTTAAAATACAGATTT